GGCTTCGGTTCAGGATCCGAACGCCGAATACTCTGCAGTTAAAAGAAAACACACGTCAAGGGCCGCAGCACAGCTATCTGAGCAGAGAGATTCAAGACTTATTTGGGTCTAGCTCGGAGTGGAACGCTTCGTGCTAGCTGATACCCGAAGATCGGATTCTCGTGTGGATGACATAAAACATACTTGAACCCGAGCCCTCGACCCACAATGTCGCAATGCTTGCTGGAACCTCTCGCAGCAAGATACCCGTAATGCGGTCTAAACCCGATCGGCCTCTTGCCCGTGGAAGAGGTTCTGCGCCCTGGTGGCCGCCTGACGCCCGGGACCATCAGGGCTTCTCTGTTGTGTGAGTCTGGGCTCGAAGGTATTTCAGGGTCTGAGCTGCGCAAGTTGTTAAAGGGCTTGTTGGGGCTGCAGATCAGAAATGGGAGATGGAGGTGTGTAGGCTGTGGAAGCTAGCTCCCTGCACCAAGGACTGAAGGCCCTGAACTAAACGAGTTAATACCCTTTCAAGACGTCACGTTTCAGCTTACACTATCGATCGACTTACATGGGAGTCTTAGTGAGAGCAGGAATGACACCGCTCAAGGTTAACGCCCAATAACACACTGCGTACTTTGAGAAACCTCTTTAAATTACACCCCAGCCCAAATTCGAAAGTTGAGTGTCAACAACCTTATGACGCGGAATGGAGGGGTCCATTGAAACGACCGTTTTGGGCGTGGGATTCGGGAGTCAGTCCGGGGACGTGTGGACTTATGGCGCCACACATGCAAACCAGGTCAAGCCGGTTCATGCCGGTTCGATACACTTCCATTATGATGAAAGTGTTCCCATGGACCTGCCAGCCTCAAATCCCAAACCCCGCAACGCACCGAATCTCTCTGATCCAATCCGTCCTGTTCGTGAGGTATAGGTTTGACGGTTTGGGAAATGGGTTTAGGAGCGATGCAAGGTTTTGAGACCTGGTTAAAGATGTGGTGACCCTATGAAGGTTTAGGGTCAGTCTCGGGATAACTAAGGTTAGTGCTCACGGCTTTATAGATATATACAAGGTTTCAGTGTTGTGAGTCTTGAGTTGAGTGCTGAACAAGGTCGTGTGGCTTTCGAGTCCTGCATTGTCTTGTATGCTGTATTGCACCTTCAACGGACTTTTCATGCAAGGACGGCGTTGCCTCGGGTAGCCTGTGTTTCCGATGCCAGACTTCCCAAAGTGGCCTTTTCTTGCATCTGGACGTCAAGTTGATGCTTCCAGTAATAATAAAAGACACCCGAGGCCATACTTGAACGCGTGGGGCCTGGAATGACTCGTCAGCATCACCATCCAAGCGGGCCAAGTCAGACAAAGCCTTGGCAGGCTTCGACGCTTTGAGTTTGTTCTGCGGTAAAGGTCAAGGGGGTTTTGGACTGCGACTCTCCTTAAAGCTGCAGTGGTTTCAGACACCTCACGGAGAGAAGACCAATTCAGAAGAAGCGCAGAAGCTCGTTTTCAACTTCATGGCCCGTCTCTCTATCTGCCACTTCCCGGATAGAAGCTGACGTTAGAAACGGATTCGTGTTCCACGCCCCGGGGCCTGCTTCTGGCTCCGTGTAATTGCCTTCTCGGGCCCCGGAATTATGTTATTCTCTTCGCTGGGTGTCGCAAACTCGCGGCAGCCGCAGTGAGCAGCAACACCTAAACCAAAACTGATCGAAAGTGGTCGAGCGAGGTCCACAACAGAACCTAAATAGTCCAGCCAGGGCACCAATTGGCAAGCACCCTGGCCACAGCGGTCGCTAGTCCGACCGTAGAGGCGCCTGAGATTCAGAGTTTGAACGGCGTAGGATGTGGACGGTCAGAATTTTTAGATGGTAGGGGCGTCGCGTCAAGCCTCTTGTGGTGCGCAGATGAAGATGTCTGCGCTTCGGGCTCTTCATCTCATGGTTTAACTATTGGTTGGGGCGGTCTGAGAACGGTATATGCTTCGGTGCTTAACGCTCCGGCAAGCTCTGGCTTCGTCACAGATAGCTGCGATGATTTTTCTGGTGACCCTGCCAGCGGGATGCCCGTCACATCGGAGTCAAACCATATTCGGTTCTGCAAGGGGTGGGTGCATGAAAGTCTCATATCTTTGATCTGTGATGTGACCATCAGTGTTTGCACACATTGGACAAGAGTCACACCTCCAGGTTGCCATTTCTCCATCACTGAAATCACAAAGCCCCCGAAAACAATACCAAGCCTGACCACCGGGCAACTTCCTGCTTGAGGTATTGCAAGACACCTGGCATTCCAGTACAAGTACTGGTACTAATTCTATATCTCTTTTCCTGCCTTCCTTCCTGCGCCAGCCACACGCCAAGCCAAAAATCAGACCAACACGAAAAAACAAAGGACCGGATAAATTATGTCCCTCCCCCTTACTTACGTTGAAAAAGATGTCCCTGGTGCATCCTTTTCGTCAGTTGGAGCTACCGTCATCCCAAGCCCGAACCCTCAAGACAACAAGCAGCACCTTGAGAACTGTCCTACAGCCTGCTCACCAATGCCATGGCACAACGCCACATTCGCGGCATCTTTGCCTGCCGAACTATCCGAACATCTGAAGATCGAGGCTCGGCAAGTCACAAGGTTCCGGGCAGAGTCAATGAGTCGAACAGCAAACTGAGGAGTGGGGACTTGCGGCCCCGGAGTGGCAGATCTTTACAGCCCAAGCCAAGCCTGCAAATATTGAATCGTAACTCCCAAAGGCTCGGAACCGCCGGCCCTGGTACCCTGCACGCGGATGATAAGCCAGCGGGTTATTGCCGTTTAGTTCCTTTCCGCTTCAACAGCCAGACCATGCATACTTCAATGTTTTCCATATAGACCAAGTGCAGAAAACACCCCAATTGAACGCACCTGCATTTGCTGACGGACAAGGTCTCTTTCTACGCCATGTCCGGAATTGTGGGTGTAAGGCTTGGGGTTCATATTCTGAGCCTCACTGTCTGCGAAGCTTGGCAACGACTGCTGACTTGTACGGCTGGAAAGGTCAGTTAGGTAAGGACACCCAACAGCAAAACCAAACCAGACCTCAAATCCAACATCCTACAGCCCACACCCCACCACCTCGCATCCTAGACGTGACCAGATCATGCACTTGCTCTAGGCGTCTTCACCCCTGACCCCTCGGCCAACCGAGGAGCGAGAACTCGAAGACCTAAACATGGTTGTAATTTGTCAGTGTGTCAGCATTCGCAGCCCTTCAAAATAGACATGTTACAGTGCACAGCCTTCTGCATATCGGGGTAGCCCCACTGCAACGCAGACCTGCGGGAGAAGCTCAGGCCCTTCATTCTCCGTGCTGTGTGTTTCGGGTTTTCTGTCAGGACGACTTAAGCGATTTACGGTGTTCTCTGCCGTAGGATACAAAAAGGAGCCCGTCCTACTGCCCTGCGCTGGAAACAACCGCAGCATGACACTGTCAGTGAAAGCCGGCAAGTCTGAATCCAAGACGGGTGGGTGGCCGATTGCCTCTGCATGGGTCAGCTCGGCCATGGCCTGCTGGAAATCTGGAAACGAACGGCGACTCGAAAGCTGGACAGATGCGCGCAGGGCCCACCGGGGTTGAGAGGGCTTTGGGCCTGGGCTTTGGCTGAGCACCTCAAGCTTTTGATTGAACTTCGAGGATGTAGGGCTATGCATTTAGCAACAGAGCTTCGGGTGAAGGCTGCAGGACTTCGGGCTTTAAGGTTTAGGGCTCATTGTCAGGGCTTGGACACGGGAGGAAGGCTCAAGGTTGATGTAGGGTTCAGGGTTTAAGAGCTGAGTTTAAGAGATCTATCTCCCTTCTTCATGCTTGCAAAAGACAAAGCTGACTTCACCACGCTGTCAACTTGCAAAAACCTTTCATGTGACAGCATGGCCAGGGGTAGGGGATTCAGCTTGTGACCGGAGTTTGCGTTCGCCAGCTTGACATGATCCGCATATCCGAAGCACAGCTGGCAAGATCCAACACAAGCCCGGCTAAAACGGCTAGAACCCTCCAACCCGATGAATTGAGCATTTTAGTTGACCTGTGCTGGGAGCGGAGCCTCTAGGTCTGTGTGACCACTTTCGCTGGCAAGCACCTGCATCCTGGAATCAAAAGGCAGTGGGGCTGTTTTGGGGGGGTCGTGCTTGCGCTTCGGGATTCACCCGCTTGTTTGAAGTTCAGCGCCTGCAGTGCGAATCTGCCTAGGCCCCCGCCACCGAGGCCCTGCATAATTACCCATGTCCACATGGCAGGGTTTTTGACGAAGCCTGGTAACCTAGGCCCCCGCCACCGAGGCCCTGAAGCCCTGCAGAAAGACCCGAAACCAGGCCTTTTCACCACTGCCAGTGATTCATCGATCTTCAAGACCTCGCGACGGACTTTGGTTTCTTAGTCGGTTTTTGAAGTACAGGCTGCTCTCTGAGTGAGTTGGAGCAACACATCCTGTGCAACTTGCAGCATGCACCCTAATAGGACTCATGAGCAAAAGCCAAAGACAGTACCAGCTTGGGTGCCGGAGCGCCAGCTCGACACCAAGCGTGCCGTTTTGGCAGAGAGGCCTCGCACAGAAGCAGCGCTTGGAGGCGCAGCGTCCAAAGTTCACCCCGTGGGTCGCCAGCGACCTACCGAGGGAGCTTGGAATGGTTAGGATACCAGAAAAAACAGAAGCATCGCGCTGGACAGCATAAAATCTGAAAGAGTAGCTGTAACGGCCTACGTGCCGTCATATCTATAATCTATAACCAAGTGAAACCTAAAGACTTCGTTCCTAAGCTTCAGCCGGAAGCACTCCTTTTCCCAGTATCCTCTGCGGAATCATCCACTCGATTAATGCTGTGTTGCAGGCGGGGCCTCGAGGTGCCATGCAGAACCATGCGTGGTTGGGGTTCGGTCTTAGTGTCGGTTTGCCAGTCGATTGGTTTAAGGCGCTAAAGACTACAATGCCAGACCTCGACCTCTTATCTTGAAATTGTTAGGTGCTTTGACCGCCGACTTCAGACCACCTCAAAACTCCAACCATTTCACAGGGCAAAAGACGGCCTTCAGCGCTTTGGCAGCACTTGTGGTCACCTGAGGATGTTGTCCATAAGCTTACGCTGATGTGGGCTTGTCGGGCTGTGTATCCACGCCTCGACGATGTCCATCGGATCTTGCTGTGCCAACTCGTTGAGAACCATGGCCTCACGCCGAGATTTCTGCAGGAAGTGCAGCAGTGCAGAAGTCTTGAGAGTTGAGAGTTTCGGTGCCCAGCTGTGGAATTTGTGAAGCAACCCAGCCTGCATCTGCCGAGCACGTGCTTCATTGCGCTTGTCCTACCAGGTTACCAGGCGATATGAGGGCGACTACTTGGTGGAATCCTCGCAACCTCGCAACGAGATCCCCCAACCCCTCGAAATGGACCAACGCCTAGACCTAGTCGTCCAAAACACAAATTCGTCCTTCGCTTTGACGGCCGCGCGCAGTCCTCGATCTGCGAGCTTCAGTGCCTTGTCGGCCTTGCCGGAGTAAAGTTCCAGTCTTGCGGAGCTGACGCTGAAAACGTGTTGATAAAGTTTCCTTAGATTCCACTGGTGTTGTCGTATTTCTGTGCAGCTCAGCCGTACTTCTAGTTGTAGCTCCAGCTTCAGGTACAGTTGCCAGCCACATGATATCGGTTTGGTCACTCGTCTTAGCCACTAGCAGCAGGTTGTGGTCGTCGTTGTCGTCGTCTTGGCCGCAGCAGCATGAGCCAGAGGATGAGGAGAAGTAGCAGCAAGTAGTGGAAGTTAGTCGTGGTCGTAGCCGCAAGCATCGTCGTCGCCGTAGTAGCAGTCGCAGTTGTGGTCAGTCGCAGTCGCAGCCGTCGTCGTGGTAGGAGAAGTCGGACCAAGTAGGAGTTGTCGCAGTGTTTTTTTCTTGTTCTTCTGCTTTGTATTGTTGGTAGTTGTGGTGGTGGTGCAGTTGGTAGTAGTAAAAGGGGTTGCAGTAGGGGCAGGAATAGAAGCAGGAGCAGGTGTCGGAGTCGGTAAGGGGGGAGATGTCGTAGTAGGAGTGATAGGAGAGTGATTAGCAGAAGCAGTAGCAGTAGCAGTAGCAGCAGCAGTAGCAGTAGCAGTAGCAGTAGCAGTAGCAGTAGCAGTAGCAGTAGCAGTAGCAGTAGCAGTGGCAGTAGCAGTAGCAGTAGTAGTAGTAGCAGCAGTAGTAGTAGGCGGCCCCCCCTACCAACTACCCCTTTTGCATGCGTTGCTTTGGAGCCTCGAACAGTTATGACCACCCATATTCGAGTTTTCGCTGAAAGCCCTCGCAAAAGCAAAAGACAACGTAGCAAAGTCCAGAGGTAGGCTTGGCGACTAGAAAGAGGGCTGACGTCACGAAAACACTCTAAATTCCGAGTAAGATGGCTCTTGCGGAGATGTTGTTCGGGGTGTCGTTTTAACAATGTCGTCATCATTCTTCCCGAACCCCACCCCCCGCCAAAAGCAAGTCCAGAATCGGATGCTGGAGTTTGAAAACTCGTTGTTAGTAATGGAGTGTGACATGAGCATAGTAGAGTAAAAAAAAGCTTTCCCCCAACCAATTTCGAGTTTTTTTGCTGAAAGCCCTCGCAAAAGCAAAAGACAACGTAGCAAAAACATGTCCAGAGGTAGGCTTGGCGACTATATAAGATATCAGACGTCGCGAAAGACTGTAAATAACGAGTAAAATGGCTCTTCCGGAGATGATGTCCGGGGTGTCGGCGTAACAATGTCGTCATCATTCTTCCCGCACCCTCCCACCCCCCCCAAAACAAAAAGGCCAGAAAACGATCCCGGAGTTTCAAAACTCGGAGGTGATTTTTGAGGCTTCATAAGATGTTGCGACATGCCGAAAGTGCTGTAAATACCGAGTAAAACGGATGTGTGTTACAAGCGTATATAACACGAGGTAGTGGGTAGGGGGGGGGGGTGACTAGTCGTAGTCGTAGTAGTAGTAGTCGTCGTCGTCGTCGTCGTCGGCATCGTAGTAGTAGTACTAGTAGGAGACTTACAAGAGATGCATAAATAGACATATAGGCAGCCAAATGCACACTGCATGTGTGTCTGCAAGAATGCATACATACACACAAGCAAAAAAACGTGAAGGTTCTTGCCCGGGCTTCACTGCTCAAGGGTTCACAGGTGCAGGGTGTAGGGTCGAGTTTTGCCGCTTCGGGCTTCAGTCTTGGGGCCGGTTTGAGGTTTGGGTTGAATATCTAAGGCTGAAAACCTTTAGGATTGGCTCGGCATTAGCATTGGCGGCTTGTCGTGGAAGACACTTGCGAATCAGAGTGCTGTAGTGATGTACGGTTATGATATCTGTACGTGCATGCACCAGCCTGGTCATTCAGAAGAAGCTCCCGAGCGGTCGCGCACCTCACTGTTTGTGCACATCCGGTAACCTTGTAAACCTCTGCAGCATCCAGGCTACTTGTATCTTCCACTTAGAGCTTAAACAACACAAAAACAGGTTTACCTAAAGATGAATTGCAGAGAAAGACGTGCAATCTCTGTATTTCCGGCAAGCTCTCACCCTCAGGGCATCTGAGGGTACCTTCCGAGCCTGGTGTCTGGAGGGTGGACAACATATACAAGATCAAGTGTTTTCCGGAAGCCCTGGACCGCACATCTTGAAACCCAGAGCCTCTCGCAGAATGCCGGTCAAACAACCGTTAGCCCCGGTGCCAGTCGGGTTCCGTGTCGAAGTCCGTTGGCGGGTATTGTGAAACCTGACACGGCAGGGGCGAAAGGACCTTCAGGACTCGAAGGTCAAAGGCCAGGCTTCAGGGTGTCAGCATGCTGGTGTCGGTTTGGCCCTTTGCAGCTGGGAGTTTGACGGAAGAAATTGCAAAGCATTGCATGCCTTCGTAGCGGCCTAGCGAGGAAGAAACAGGGTTAGGCAAGATCGAATGCCAAGCCTCTGCACGTAAGATGTTTGTTGTGCAGCTCGTAGGTAGGCTTAGATTTGATTAAAGCAAGCAGCTAAGAAAGAGAGCAGACAAATCTTCACGTTTAGTGCGCGAGAGGCCCTGTGCATGGCATCCGTAGATCTCTGGCCCTCCAGTTCCAAGCTGATACTGCCCGGGCAGCTACAGCCGAGCCTTCGCCTCGTGAACGTCGCGATGCTTCGGGCTCGTCCCGCCGCCGGCTTCCACTAGGGCATCCACTTCGGCCATGGCGCCGGAAAGCAGCGAAAGACCTCCCCCGCCACAGACTCCTACGGTACTTTCACCCTAAAACCTGACTTATGAAAGTTCAAAAACCAGATCCAAGCTGTTGTCCTCGAACACCTCGTGCAAAAGGTGATGCGAGACAATGTATGCGAGTCTTTCCTGCCCGCATGCTACGGGATATAGGCGGCGTGAAGTATTTCTGCGTGCCAACTGCTTAGAGTCTGGAGGAAGTCTCACATGTTGCGTCACTGGAGAGGTCAGAGTAAGGAGGGCTTTGCATGGAGGATCAACATTCCGTGTCCACGATGGATGCCGCCAAACCTTGCCCAGAAAATGAAAACGTGCAGCATCTTCTCTCCAGCTGCGTGGCTGCGGTCCAGCAAAGCTTCAAACGCTACCCTTCGTCAGCCAAATGCTTCCAAGATTTGATGCTGTGGAGCGTGTACCTGCAAGTATCTTGTCCCGTGAAGTTGTGCATCTGAGGCAACACGTTTTGCGGGCTTCGAAAGATATGCAAACAATGCAGCCTCCACAGTGGATCAAGAACATGGCCGATCTGACCCGACAGACAGGCCCGGACGACTACACACCTTGTGAGAACTTTCATGCTCAATGCATCGTACAAAGTACAAAAGCTCAGCGACAAGTACTCGGATGGTACGGAGCCAAGGCTGTGTTCCTGCCTACGTGCATGGCTGGGGTACTCTGCCATCCCAGTTGACCTCTGCTATATCTTCATCGGCAGCGGCAGAGCCAGACGCTGCGATGCCAACACAGAGGGTCACCATGATCCTTCTTCGGTGCATTTTGGAGAGACCCGCGTGTGATCCCAGCACGGGCTCGAAGACGGAGCACCAACTGGCACCGCCCAACGCGTCTGTCCTGTGTTGGCAAGCCGCCACATGAATAGTGCTGGCTGTTTCGTGCGTTAACATGGTGAAGAAAGACCTTCTCCAAGCTTGCCATGCAAGGGGCATGCCTTGTAATGAGAACTTCCTGTCTACTGTTCGGTGCCATTTTGGAACAATAAGCGCAGCCTGCGCAGAAGCTCGACGACAAGCACCTCTACCGCACGGATCTGGGCCTGTGATCCAGCCCGGCTGGTGTATTCTGGCATAATTAGGCCATTGACCTCTGCAAGATCTTCATCAGCAACGGCATGATGCCAGACGCTGCGATGCCAACACAGAGGGTCGCCATGATCCTTCTTCGGTGCATTTTGGAGAGACCCGCGCGTGATCCCAGCACGGGCTCGAAGACGGAGCACCAACTGGCACTACCTAAGGTGGCTGTCCTGTGTTGGCAAGCTGCCTCATGAATAGTGATGGCTGTTCGGGGTGCTATCGCCAAGCTTGCCAAGTAAGGGGCATGCCAAAAGATGAGAACCTTCCGATCTACTCTGCGGTGCCATTTTGGAACAATAAGCGCAGTCTGCGCAAAAGCTCGACGACAAGCACCTCCACTGCACGAATCTGGGCCTAATATGTCAAATGACACTGACCTCTACAAGATCTTCATCAGCAACGGCATGATGTCAGACGCTGCGATGCCAACGCAGAGGGTCGCCATGATCCTTCTTCGGTGCATTTTGGAGAGACCCGTCTGTGATCGCAGCACGGGCTCGAAGACGGCTGTGTTGGCAAGCTGCCTCATGAATAGTGATGGCTGTTCGGGGTGCTATCGCCAAGCTTGCCACGTAAGGGGCATGCCAAAAGATGAGAACCTTCCGATCTACTCTGCGGTGCCATTTTGGAACAATAAGCGCAGTCTGCGCAAAAGCTCGACGACAAGCACCTCCACTGCACGAATCTGGGCCTAATATGTCAAATGACACTGACCTCTACAAGATCTTCATCAGCAACGGCATGATGTCAGACGCTGCGATGCCAACGCAGAGGGTCGCCATGATCCTTCTTCGGTGCATTTTGGAGAGACCCGCGTGTGATCCCAGCACGGGCTCGAAGACGGAGCACCAACTGGCACCACCCAACGGACCCAACGCGTCTGTCCTGTGTTGGCAAGCTAACGCATGAATAGTGAAGACTGTTTGGGGTGTTCTGTAAATTCGGAAAGACAACCACCAAGCGTGTCAGATAAGGAGCATGCCTCAAGGTCAAAGCAGAACATTTCAAAGCACAAGCAGTAAGTAACAGCTCGACGACATGCAGCTCCACTGCACGAATCTGGGCCTAATATGCAGAATGCCATTGACCTCTGCAAGATCCTCATCAGCAACGGCATGATGTCAGACGCTGCGATGCCAACGCAGAGGGTCGCCATGATCCTTCTTCGGTGCATTTTGGAGAGACCCGTCTGTGATCCCAGCACGGGCTCGAAGACGGAGCACCGATGTTTTGCAGCGTAATGAAAACTTCGGGGCATTGACATTGACTTGAAACCGCTACAATGAACACTGGCATGACACAACAAGCTCACACACGACAACAAAGAGGGAAGGATGAAGGAAGGAAAGAACCAACGTAAAGTCACGATCGCAGTCTTTGTCGTGACTGTTTCCCGAGCCTTCCTTGAGGATTTGCGAAACTAGACTGCAAACCCCACATGGAATCATAGACGAATCTTCACGTCTGCATGTGTCGCTGCGATACAACAGGAAGGAAAACGACGAGGCTCGTCCAACAGATCTGCAGCCTGAATGGTGAGGGTGATTTCGAACAGAATCTTGGCTGTATGTCGCGGCATGGACCACAAATTCAGATGCGGACGACAAGATGACGGAGAAAGGAAAACAATCATCGAAGCAATGACTTGTGCAGTCGTCTTCAAGATCGTCTCTTCGCCCTCGCGATGAGACTCTCCCACCGGAATGCTTACGATTCTTCTTCGCAGTTTTCTGGGTCATGCTTTAAGGCGTTTGGGTCGGCTAAATCTTTGACAAAAGATTATAAAGATTACAATCCATTTGCCTTCCCAAGTGTACTGCCATGTCATGTCCGTCGAACCCGCAACCCTGAACAACGAAATCCTAATTTTTCAGGTTTGGCATGCTCTGATGAAACAGTTCGATCCCCATAAAACAAGCTGTGCTCGCAGGTTGCGTTCTACCATACAGCCCTCTACAATGCGTTGAAATTTAAATAATGAGGTGACCGGGAAATTTCGTTGCCTCAACATGTGCTGCATCGGACCAGTCGGAAGCCAGTCGTGCTCTAGCCCCCGACGGTTCGGCTGAGAGGGCAGAGTTTGCACCGGAGCTCGCTGCCCACATTTCGGAAATGTGAGTGCGCGCAACCAACCCACACAGCAAAGTCGAGTTGTGCAGCTGGCAGGGACGACACGACCTCAACAGACACAATCAAGCAGAAAGTCTGCGTGATTTGATGCTCAGCGAAAAATTCATGGTTGAGCGAGAGCAGCATCGTCCGTAAATGCCTGTGGCTGGGAAGGGATGCCATCTCGTCATGAAGCCTGAGAACGGTGTCTACTGCTCCCGGAGCCTGCGCAAAGCTGTACGTTGCACACTGTTACTCTCATGAGAGCACGATGGCACATGTGCCCAAACCTACAGACAAGGATACTGTTGCAGTACTCAAAGCAGAAGCTGTTGTGGCATCAAAGAAATGTGAAGTAGAAGAATCCATAATGCACTGCGCGAGGGTGTCGCATCTGGCTTGCACAACAATAGTAGAGCAGAACAAGCTAAACGGCTTACATTGAAGAAACAGAGTCTTAGGGCTTATAAGGGTTAGGGTGCCCTGTACCCTAACTCTCGCGCCCGTTTTGGCGCTTGTCGCTCCAGCTCCGGGTAAGGAGAACTGCATCGGTCAGCTCTGACCTCACACATCACTGCTGGGAAAAGAGAGAACGAGTCCTTACATGCTACAGTCTTTTCCAGCGACCACAAGTGATTACGAATGGTTTCTCGACTTGTCGCATTGAATCCCTTTTCTCAGAGGGTCAGGGTACAGTATGTCAGGGTTGTTTTAGGTTTCGTACATCTTTGTAAACGCTTTATGTTGGATATCATCAAGGCTTTCACAGGGCTCAATGGCAAGATATCGAGAAGCGCTTTTCACTTCAAGGGACGAGGGTTCGGGGTGCGGTCTCATCAGTCTGGCACATTCAAGCACAGGCGGCGTCAGACTTAGCTAGTATCTTGCAAGGGTAAGGCTAGGGCAGTCAAATTTGCAGACTGCTGGGTGCCCTGCAGACAGCATTGCTCAAGGCGCTTCATCACTGGCCTGACCAGTACTTTTTTCTAGCTCAAGCCACTGATGCATCCTTCATCACTTTGGGTAGCCCTCAGGACGCAAGCAGATCTACTCTTCAGAATCCCCCGCCTCGCAGACAGTGGCTGCCCAGCCTGGCGATTGGCAGCGACTCATTCAGGGCTTCTTGCGGCCCTGATCCTGTATCCAGAAGACTCTGCTACCACTGCTGTGCCAGTCGAATCGCCGGAGCCCGAATCACGGCACCTCGAGAGCCGCATCGGCGGCAGCGCCCAGGACGTCGGCACCAGGGGCAACTCGCCGCCTGCCACTGTGGCGGACTTTTTGGTATGAGGGATTTTGCACTGAAGCGTTTGCCATCCAGTGCGTATTAAGTTGCTGAAAGTAGGCCAGTTTACAATGAAACCCACGGGTCCAGGGTTCTTGGAATCCAGGTTGGATTCTGCGGTGGTGACTTGGAAATCATGCCTCCTCACGCCCTATACCAAACACGAACTCCTTCAAACAACCGGACTGCCCTAACTCTTCTTGCTCTCGTGCTCTTCCAGAAATCCCTCGGGGTGCGGGGCATGGGTTGAATCGGCCCGACCTGAAAGCAGAAACGTCACACCAGGCATCCGCAAACAACAAAGTGCCTCTGCATCTGCCGCATCAAAGTGAAGATCATATCCCAATACTCACCGCCCGTGCTTCTGCCTGCGACGTGTGCTGCGCTGCTGAATGATGTGTTGTTTGAGGGTTGCCTTTACCCATTCATGGTCTCGCAGACAGGCAGACCGAGAAACAGACAAAGGACACTCGAAGGCACAGACGCATACACACACACATATACAAATGTACAAACAAACACACGTACACACACCCACAGATGCATATCTAAATGTATACGTACATCTATATATATATATGTATATATATATATATATATATATCTATATGTATATGTATATGTATATGTATATGCCTATGTATGCGCGCACAAAGCCAAACACGCACAACAACCGCACATGCACACACACACACACATAGAGAGACACCGGCGCAATCGTAAAGCTGAACATCTGACTGAGGTCGTTTGCTGTGGCGTGCGACCTGCCCGCTAAAGTTGACATTCAATAAAAAGTCGAACGGACTTTCATCTAAGCCAAGTGCTTGAGGCAAGCAATCTCTGTCGTAAGTCTTAGCCTCTCAGAACTTTTGGGCCCAGTGCGGTAGTCACCAATCATCACATCAGAGAGCTTAGCTACTGCCGCAGCTTCCTCGAGCATCCAGTCTTGCAGTCTTGGCTCTTTTGGCTCTTGGGAGCTGAGTGCGGGGCAGGCTGCCACGAGACCGTTGTAGGTCACCTGGCTGCAAGCAAGCTGAAACTTCGGTCCTTACACCAACTGTCTTTGTCTGTTGTCCTTCATCCTTGAAAGCTTCATAGCTTCCATCTTTGAGCAACGGCCTCAATCTACACATACCAATATGACGACCCACTGAATATTCCGTCAACTCATTGGAATGTACCATGCACCTTGCCCAAACACAACCCGACAAGATGCTCGTTGGGCACCTTGTCCGGCGTTTGCACATTGAGCCTAGCTCGGAAGGAGCTGGAACAGGGGGCCAAAATCTGCGAGCTCTAGATCTGGGTTTGCAACTTAACTTCGCGTTGAAAAAAGAGAACTTCTCTTTTCGGAGTCGCAGGTTCGGTCTTGGAGGCTAGTAACTTGAAGGGACCGCAACGTGGAATCAGCTGGAAAACATCATAGTCTCAACGTTTTCTCAGTGCTGCTCACAGCCTTCTTGCCTGCAAGTGGAACAGAGAATGAGAAGAAGGATTTCTAGAGACCCAGACCTACCGTTGAGGTTGCACGGTGGAGTGTGGAATATGCAGCATTTGCTTCGAACATGGGAAATGAACTGGCATGCAAGGTCAAACCGCCCAAGGTGCAGCTAAACACGACAAGCCAGTTTCGCCCAGTTTACTAAGGCGTGAGTCCAACGAGCGGTCAAAGGAGCGACGATGTTCTGGATATGGCAAATAGCTAGGATATGCTGACGTGTACTCAAGACGTCACAGAAAAAACAGATTTCCAGCTTGGCGAGCTGGTGACGGAAGAGAAATGTCACACCCGGTTCGTGTCCAAGATGTGTTCAAGGCACCAGCTACATTCGAGAAGCTGCTGGCATACCCCAAACAAACACAGACACACACACACACACACACACAGCGACTCAGACACAGACAGACACAGACAGAAAGGCAGAGAGACATAGACGGACAGAGGCAGACAGAGACAGACAGAGACACACAGCGACACACAGAGACACAAACACACATGCACACACCGACACAGACACAACACACTGTAGCTGAAACTGAAGCGGAAATGTGTCTCTTGTTCTGCAGGGATGAGTCTTTGCCCTCCCAGGTCCGGACCCCAGCACCAAGGCTTCGCGCAGCCGCCGTGCCTGTAATTCGAATGCGCTTTCGGCCCAGTGCGGTGAACGATCTTGACAAGAAAGTGGCTTTAAATACAACGGGGCCAGAACATGTTTGATTCACGTGCGACAGAGTAAGAAATTATGGAGGCGAGCTGGATACTCTAGACAATTTCCTGGACTGGTCAGCCAGCACAGAACACAACCGGGGTCCCTTCCCTCTCTCTTCCCCTTGTTTCGTTCCCGTTCCACAGGACTTGAACCGCTGCAAATGGAGTGTGCGAAACTCGAACCCTTCTCTCCTCCCCGCTCACCTGCCTACCGTCCATCCAGCCACTTCCATGTTAATTTGGAGTTGGAACGCTCAAACAGACATGAATTTTTGCAAGTCTGTTGGCAAGGCTCGAGTCCGCGCCTTTTTTCCCCTTCCCGTAGTTCCTGCTCTCGCCTGCCCACCCTCAATGTTCAATATGCTCGCGTCAAACACTGCCAAACCCAATGCAACCCCGAACAACTGTACGACGATTTCTTAATTTGTATTGTCAAGACTCTCACATTTATCACTGAATACAGTTTCTTGACACACTCCTGCAAAGTCAAGCGGAAGGTTTTGCAATCTGATGCTGCCTGCCAGAAAAACCCTTGCAAGCCCTTCCCGACCCGTGCAGGCCTTCGCGCAAGCACTGATGCACGCATTGCTGATGGTGAGCAAGCCCGAGCCTCTTGTTCATGAATTCGGTTGACACGTGTAAGGGTTGCTTCAAACTTCGACATCCTGTGCAGCGTTTGTGGCGTGGCCACGAAGCCTATGCATCGAGCACTAGTGATACAACTGCCGCAAATGCGCCTAACAAAATAAGACCGCATATTTCCTGATCAAGTCAGTGCATGCTGGGTCACGAGCCAGGACAAGCTCCGAAATGGAGTCTTTTAATTTGAACATCCCTTCGACCTGAAACCTGGAACAGAATTTCAAGGATTTCAAACTCGAGTGCCAATGAGATCCGCGCCCTGCAACTTTGGCAAGCACCTGCCGTAGCTGCTCATGAAACTGTTAGTTGGGCTGTCGCTTCGGGGGCTGGCCTCAAGCTGCAAACCTGGCTTCGAACCCCCCCCCCATGCTTTTGCTCGCATCAGCTCAACTCGGCTTTTCAGCATCTTACCCTTTAGCGGAAGTTGCAATATCCAAAGCCTTGATCGAACAAGCTAAATCCCCCTCTGTCGGCAAGGGAGCTGAAAGCACCTCGTCTGCGAGGCAACCCACAATGCCCAACCTGCATGACTTAGGTGCAGCTAGACTGTATTTCTTGCGCTTCAGCACATGAAGCGGTGACAATCGCAGCTGAGCAGTGGGCACCACTGGCTGCGTTTTTCGCAAGCAGAAGCCTGAACTTTGCAAGCAATCGTCGACGGTTTTACTTTGCAAATGCAGCCTATTTCGTGTTTGTCATTCATAGTTGTTTGGCTGGGCTTCAAGATTCAGATATAAGCATGGGCCGATCGAACTTTTCATCTTGCATTCAGCACCTGAAACTATTGCATTGTCAGATGATGAAAGCTCTACGAATCTGTGAACATGATGAGATCTTGGAATTTATGGAATGATTCGCACCCGATACGCGTCGTACGATGACAAACGTCGGTGCCAAAGGCACTAGATGCGACTGTAGTGGCTTTAGATACAGAAAGCGCCGAACCTACTGGTTCAGGGTTCCAGATCTTAGAGATTACGGCTCTACTAGTCTCTACATTACTCTATATTCAGATGAGATGTGCTATTTCCTGCCATTCAGGTAGCTTGGACGTGTTCATCTTTCACAACTCCTTGTGAAGTACAGCAAACCGAAGGCACAACGTACGCATCTCATCTGAACGCAATCAGCCGTGCCGCCTCTGTGCAACCTTAAGCACATGTTCCATGAGTTCGTGGGTTCCTGACACTCCGTATATGCGTGTGTGCGCGTGCGTGTGCGTGTGCGTGCGAATGTGCGTGTGCGTGTGCGTGTGTGTATGCGCCTGTGCATGAACAAACACAACTCTTATTTCTTAAAGCTGGGCATGGCTGCAAAAGCGTGGGAGCCGAGTGCGTGCCTCAACCAACAGCTTCTCTGGACCCCGAAGGCGCGAATCACATTAAGCATCATGTATTTTCTTCATTCCAACCTCATTTCATGCAGGTCTTGGCAGTCAGTGGAGTCTTTGCCTCACGACAGCAATCTGAGGGTCGCGACTGTGGCATTGAAAGATACGATGTCGGGTGTCACCATATGTGAACCTTGGAGATGCTGGGAAGTTTTCAACCTGCACAGCCTGGGTATCCTGCCTCCCAGTCTAAATACTGTCGCGCGAAGCCCCTGGATGCAGTTGGAAACTCCACGCGCTTGGCATTCTGAAAGATTCTTGCCACGGGACGGTCTGTTCCGAAAAGGTTCGAGCTCCCTGAAACAAAGCTCCAACGCCCAAAATGGCCTCCAATCTAAACAACCAACAGCACCGAAATCCCGGCTCATCATCATCAGCAGCTCAAGGGCGAACTCCCAGCGTTGGGCCTCGCCGTTGCAGGCTACATCTGGGTCATCGGTCTCCCAGGGCCAGCTGGGTTCTACATTATTCGGTATCAAAAACTGTCAAACTAGCGTGTGAGTCGTGTGGCACTCGCGTGCATGCCACTTCCATACCCAGGCAACAACACTCAGCCCTGGAGTGCCCAAGTAAGACTCTGCACGTCGAAGAAAAGACTGAAAGACTTCCGAAAGTAAGTTGCAAGTAAACGTACGGGTTCGGGGCTTCGGGTCAAGAAGCTTCATCATAGCGTGGAAGTCAATGACCCATACTTGTGGAACAGGATCTTGCCTTCTCGCAGGCCGTGATGGCTGCATTGAAAGCTATCAGATCCTGGCTCTTCTGCTGCTTCTGGCGAGACTCTGGCGAGCTAAGCCCCCCGCCCTCCCCCCGCCCCTAAAGCGCGCCGGGCGGAACTGGATCCAAGGCTCTCTCTCGGAGCTCGTCGAGCAGAGCGAAAGCGCCCTCACGCGTCGCTGAGGGAGCTGCCACTGGGGTTCACTGTGCTGTTCACTGCTGCCCTGGAAACACTGAAGCACCGAAACCAAAGCCGAATTCCAGATGCCTCCCAGTGACGACCTTTCGCGCAAGCCTCGTCAGGCTGAATGCAATTGGTGTTGCCTAGCGTGCAACCTGCAATGAAGGCGATGAGAGGAAGATCCGCTTAGAAGTGGAGCTTGGCTCCGAACTGTTATCCCGGCGCCAAAGCCTTGGCGAAGGAAGCAAAGAAATCTCTCTGAAGCCATACGAGTCATAGTTGGAAGCAATGCCGATGCATGATGACTGACTGAGAACCAGAATGAAAGCAGCTCCCGGAAGGAACACGAACACGCACGCGCATTGTCAGTGAGGCATTTCTGTCTCTACTCGTTCGAAATATACTAGCGACAATCACAGATCAGCCACGGTGCAGACAACATTCGGCTGGATGCCTGGCTGCGCACCTCGGACGGGCAAAAGCGTGGATCATTTGATGTTGGTCGGATTGCAATACTGGAAATCGACCGAATGGACATCATCGAAAGCCGAGGTTTGCTCACTGGGTTCACATGCATGCTTCTGCGCCGAGTCCTTTTGCATCTATGCGTATTCCCCGCCTGGATCCGGATGCGATGCGTTGAATGGCTCAATGATTTCGATCAATGCTTAATCCACTTCTTGGGCTGTGGATGGTCAAGCACATGGCGTGGTCTCAGTAGTGCATGGGACATGCAACATGACTTGGAATCGGAATAACTCCGTGACCGAGTATGGCAAGCTGGTGTCGAAATCACATTGCCCAGCATGATCGTCATGAAATGCAGACATACCAAACCAGCAGCAAGTGTCGCCACAAGAGTTTCGGCAAAAACAAAATGACGGTGCTTCGGCAGCTTTTAAAATACGTTGGCTGTCTTCTGGTTTTGCCTATCTAGTTCGGTACTCCTGATCTGGAAGTATTGATACGCGCGCATGTCGCTCCTGCAAGTCGGCCTTGAAGCTTGAGCTCTAAAACTTTTGCAACTCGGGACACGGCGAAGCATCTGCAACACTTCCAGAGCCATCTGAGCAGATTTTGGTTCTGGATCTGCCGGGTCTTGGGGCCTTGAGGCTGAGGGGGTATGAGTTGCAGGTGTAGTAGGCACGAGCTACACGTAGGGTGAGCTGTGTCAGGAGCCTTAAAGCACGTAGCCTGATTATTGATGCATGCACAGCTTCCGTCCGGTGGCAGTGGGGCAAACCCATCCAAACTTCCTGTCCCGAATCCACTGCGCCGGCCGTTAGAGGTCTGTGCTGCGGCTTTGATTAGGCCTAAACCGAGGAGCTACGTGCCTCCCATTGCGGGCCTTTTCCACAAGCGTTGATGACTGAGGAAAACGCGACTACCTGAGTGCAGGATCGGAAGCAACCACTTTCGAACTGGAAGATATCCTGTTGCTAAACATTTAAGCACATGCACCTGCCCAATGCTTCATTTTGCGGTCTTGAAAGGACTTCCTTGAACAGAAGCCCAGAAGTCTCAACAGGACAACATAATAACATATAACCTTAACGAACTGAAAGCCAACCACATTGCGTGGACTTGCACTCTTCTTCAAGACCCATCTTATACAGAAGAGGAAGGGCAGAATTATCTGCAATCTACGCCTGAGCAGATGCTTGGAGCTCCCGCATCTGGAAGCAATCGCCGGTCGATGGCCTGATCTAAAACAGCAAGCTACAGGGTGTGTGCGGGACTCGTTCCGATTGCAGCTTGACTGGCTCACGTAGTCGAGGTCTTGTGGAAGTGAGGCATTCCTCGTTTAGACACTCTCTATTGCATGTTCAGAGCTCGGAAATGTGCATGCTTAATATCATTAACCACCATGTCTCAAAGCAGGATTGAACTCTGAGGTCACAATTTTCTAGATGCCAAGACTCTTTGGGATAATTTCGGGACCTATAGGGTTCCCAACAAGGATCACAGTGCACTCTCTCCTTGCAGTACCCTCCATTCAATAAACAAACCCCCTTCAGAAAACTCGACAACTCAAGGAGTAAGCCTGACCGCGAGAGCTTGCTGACTGAGCCGGGCATGCTTGCCTCGGCCAGTAGCATCACGGGAAGCCGCACATGCTGGGGCGCGCCTGCCCGAAACCCCGGAGTGTGGCTTTCGGGGTTGGTTCAGCGTGGCTGGCATCGACGAAAACCGCCGACCGCCCGAAGTCTAGAATCCTCCGTCCGCTGAGATCATCACGGATGATGTGTGTCAGAGAGCTCGGCTGGAGACTGAACTTATGACATGGGTTGAAACTGGCTTCTACATGGGCAGCCTCGGCTTCAGCGAGATCGCTCTTGGTTCTCGAGCACTGCAACATAATTTTAATCTTTGTGTTTTGACGTCGCCAGCCTCGGGACGAAAGTAAAGCGTGACTGAGCCCGAAATCTAGAATCTAGGACGATTGCAAGCAGGAGCAGCAATAGTCGTGCTAGACAGAGGAAATGGATTTGGCTATCCGAAGGGCGGTGTCGTATTGCACAGTTATGGCTCTACCACAGCCTTTAAGCCTCTAACCCCTAAGGCCCTAAGCTCCAAATCCCAAACCCTCAAATCTTGCTACATCTTATCCCATTCGCTCTGTTAGAGACTGGCCTCTGGAAGCTGCGCTGATGGACGCAGAGAATGTCACGATGTCCGGCTCTGCACAAGGCTCGGCGGCAACGTCTGGGTCTTTCGATCATGAATCTCAAGGCTTGAGAGTAAGTCTTAAGGGGATCAGGCCCTGAGTCTCCGAGGTTAGCGTCCAAAGGCCTCCTGTCCAGTCTTTATAGCCCGTTCGCCAGCTTCTGTCAAAAATCAAGGTGTCAAAAGGCGGTCGGATGTTTGTGGTCTCTGCGTACCTACCTTCCCAGGCCATAAATCCTGAACTTGGACACGGGTTCTTGAGTTCTTGGACCTCCAGATCCTCCGTGAAGAAGCTCGACTGCCTGGCGAAACATTTTAAAGGCCTATTGGAGCTGCTCCCTGGTAAGAACATGTTGAATGCTCTCAGAATGCGTGTACGTTCAGAACATGCTGCACAGAATTCTTCGGCGACATTTTCACATCACATTTATCTGCGGTTGGGATTGGCCAGTGAAAGCCTTTCTGAGATGTGTTCTGAAGCTAAGCTTTGGGATGTTCGCATGGGGCACCTCAGCTGCAGCACGCCACGATACTGAAGACTTCTCCAAGCATCACGGACAAAGGTTCCAGGTTCCAAAACCATGCTTCCAGTTTTGTCGGTCTAGGTTGAGGTTGGTCGTGCTCATCGCTTTTGGATTTGCTTGGCTGGCTGTTGGCTTGTTCGTGCGTTTTTCTCTTAGGGTCCACGCCCGCCACAGAGGCCAGTGGGTAATTACAAGTAGTTATATGCATAGTTCATCTTGCAATAAACGTGTTCTTGCCCCAAGAAATGGAATGACATTCACACCATCGTTATATGTAAGCAACTGCCGACCGACATCGATGAACGACGGGCCTTTTGCCATTGGCTGCCTCTTTCGAAGGCCGTGGCCTTGGACAGCTCAGCGTCTAGTGTGTATAAAACGAGCACATAGGTTGATGCTTCTTTCATGTCTTCGGCTGCGTTGGTCTCGGATGAGGGGTTGCAAACTACAGATTCAGTTTTCCGGAAGTTGGCAGCGCAGCAAACAGAAAGACATGTGCCCGCATTTGCAGAAACAAAAGACGACCGCTGCGACAACCACGATCAAGACAACCATGACCATGTGACTGCTACCCCTCTACTACTCTTGCCCCCTGCGAGTACTAAAGTACTACGCCTACTTCTTCTAATACTACTGTTGCTGCTGCGGCGGCGACAACGACGACCATTGAACTGGTATTGTAGCGGTCGTATTTGTGCTCGTTGTCGTCGTCGTCGTGGTGGTGGTAGTAGTAGTAGTAGTAGCAGCAGCAGCAGGAGGAGTAGTAGTAGTAGTTAGTAGTAGTCGTGGTCGTCGTGGTAGTAGTAGTAGTAGTAGTAGTAGCAGTAGCAGTAGCAGTAGCAGTAGCAGTAGTAGTAGTAGTAGTAGTAGTAGTAGTAGTAGTAGTAGTAGCAGTAGCAGTAGCAGTAGCAGTAGCAGTAGCAGTAGTAGTAGTAGTAGTCGTCGTAGTAGTAGTAGTAGTAGTAGTAGTAGTAGTAGTAGTAGTAGTAGTAGTAGTAGTAGTAGTAGTTTCTTGTAGTTGTTGTTGTAGCAGCAGTTGTAGTAGTAGCCGCAGTAGTCGCCGTCGCTATCGTAGTTGTCGTCGTAGTAGCAGTGGCAGTGGCAGTGGTAGTAGTGGTAGTTATAGTAATATAAATAATAAATAAATAAAAATAAAATATCAATAGCAGCACCAGCACTAGCGTCCGCACAAGCATCAGTACTAGTCAACGACGATGACAGCTGCTACTGCGACCACTATGGCCCTGGCTATTGCCGCTGCTGCTTCTAGTACTACAACCAGGATGACGATTACTAAGCACCTCCCACTGACCCGAATTATCGGACAGCAGATGAAGGGGCCTTTGGACTTGACGACGACAAGGCCATGAGCCTTCGGCAATCAGCTTCGACCTTTTTCCCTGCGTTTTCGGCACGCATTTCTGGAAATGCATGATGTTCAGTTTAGTTCGACGCACAGTCGATAAATGCGTCGCACAAGCAAAAATCCCCACAAACGGCTTTGTGGCGACAGCCTTCGCAAATTGCCTCCGCCGAAACAAACATCGCACAAGCCCTTCGTGGTGAAAAACGGCTGGGAGACCACTCCACTGAGCTCTACACCCTGGTGCTTGAGACTGGTCACGACTGACTTACAGTCCAAGTGTTTTAGTGCTACGGAACAGGCTTGCCCCAAAAGTTTCGCTCAGATGCAGCAAACTCCCGCCCGTGCAATTTGCAGAATTACGCGCCGCGCTCGGCGAAAGCTTTCTCCAAGACCTGCACAAAGCTCGGGATGCAGCTTCTGGAACCAGAAAATCCGAGAAGCCGGCAGGAATAAAGCCCGAGAGCTAGACTTCCGGGCTTTGCGATAAACGTCACTAAGTAAGGTTACTGAGGCTTACGGTGTGCATGTTTCCATGTGGTGGTGCAGGGTCCTGAAACTGGATGTCAATGTGTTGGCTTCGCATCATCCGCATTTTGCACAGCATCCGTATTGTTGCTCTTTGCCAAAAGGCTTAGGAGAATCTGGACACCATCGTCGTGATTGAAACATTGCTGTCCAACATCGGAATCACTTGTCCATCTAAATTCAGAATGCTTTCTCCGGCCACACATGCGGAGAGCCTGAAGCGCCCGATCCAGGCGCTGAAAACCGTCTCGCAGCTCGCCTTGAGTTGTAACACACGACGTAAAAGCAAAATGAGCATACAATAAGGGTATGTCCACTCGCAAGGTTGCTGTGAAGTCGGTCCTGGGCCATGAGAGAAAGCCGCAACTAGATGCAAATAGTGCGCATGAGCTTTGATCAATTGTCCTTCTTCTGGATATGGTTTACTCGCGCAATTTTGCTTCCTTCGCCGGTAGCAGTGAAGCGAGTAGCAGTAGTGGTGAAAGCAATGGCAGTAGTAGTCCAAGTAGTCCAAGTCGCAGGCCGTGGCACACAATGAGCCCTTATCTAGACTTGGCTATGTCGACTGTATCGACACACAATTTTGACACCTCGCTGGAGCCTGACTATACACACCCCCGGTTTCGGGAATAAGCTTTGATGAGCGGGATTTCAAGTTGGGAAACAGTAGCACCAGAAGAAGCAGCAGTGCTAGCAGTGGTGGTAGTAGTGCTGGCAGTAGTGGTAGCAGCAACATCAGCAGCTGCGGCTTCAGAAGCAAGAAAGAGCGGTGCAAGTGGGAACTGTACGCCTGTAGACCGAAAGCCGGTTTTTTATTGGCCTTATATGCCACAAGTTTGTCTTGGTATAAGCCCTCGCGAAATTTGGATTCTTCTCCCCAAGCCGTCACGAAACTGCCGTGGACACATTGCTTTGCATCTGTGTTCGTCGGATCTTCGTCTCGCTCAAACCAAGATTTTGGGAACAATGGCAGCCACGAGACAA